AATTCGTGCGGTAGTCCTTTCATTGCTTTCCTTTGAGCACCTTCATGCAGGTACTCCCCCGTTTGAGCCCTTATTTTCTTGCACAGGACAACATCAAAAGAGCCACTCAGTTCTTGCACGGATAGTGACAACCAACCAAGTTGTCATGGGTGTACAGAAAGTTTGCGGTTTGCATATTTTATTGCAGAAAATGAAATAAAGGGGAACAAAACCTCTAAACTTCTGAGCAGGAAAGTTCTCACACTGCTCTGTGATTTTATTGCCACGGTAGTGTTTCATAAAAACATAGAATCATTATGGTTGGAAAAGACCTCTAAGATCATTTCGTCCAGCCTTGAGCTCATCCCACTATGCCCACTGGCTATGTTCATTCATGCCACATCCACACGACTGTTGAACACCTCCAGGGATGGTGACTGCACCACATCCCCGGGCAGCCCATACCAGCACCTCACTGCTCCTAATTTTTCCTAATACCCAGCCTGAATTTCCTCGACACAACTTAAGGTCATTACCTCTTGTTCTATCACTGTTAAGAGGCTGATCCCCACCTTGCCACAACCTCCCTTCAGGCAACTGTAGACAGAGATAAGGTCTCCCCTGAGCCTCCTCTTTTCTGAACTGAACAATCCTAGACAGTGCTCAAACATGTATTGCAGCACTGGAACAGGTCTGCTAAAGTGTTGATGTTTTCTGGGGGATGCTTTGGTCTGTGTATCATAAGCTCACGGTCTTTCTGATAAGATTCAGAATTGCACATGCAAGGTTCTGCCAGCATAAGACTGACAAAGTTTCACTGGTAAAACTCTGTAAGATGTACCAATTCCTGCTCAGGATATGTCATCAACACAGCCTAAAAACAAACAAGCAAAAAACCAAAATGCTGCTTAACTTTGCCTTTTCAACGTCTTCATTACTGAATGATGCATAAACTGAAAAAAAAACAAAAAAAAACAAAAAAAATCCCACAAATAATACACCAGAGAAAGAAAAGATATAAAGAAACTGAAAAGCAGATATACTGTTTTCCTTCTTTCAAGATACAGAAGTAGAGCATTTTCACATTATAACCACATTAAAATCAGTTTGTATAAAGCACACTACTACGTAGAACATATCTGACTAACGTTTACACTCAAATATTGTAAAACAAATTACAGGCGAGGCTCAGGGTTTGCAGCTGTAGGACTGCATGAAAACCCAGGGCATCGGGCATGTGTTTGCTAGAAGGGATCTGGGGAGGAAGAGATTAAAATTCACAGTATATCTTGGAAGAATGACATAACGTTTGAACACAATGTCTGGTTAATTTTCATGACTATTCTCAGGAATGTCACTTTGCAATTAGTAAATGTATTGTACAGGGGTTGCTCCAAAAGTAATGCCTCTTATTTTTTTGTGTTGGCCCACAGCATCAGGGACAGATGTTGGTAATATGGCAGAAAAAAGTTGAACCTTCCCACCAATATCCCATAACATGTTGTTGCCATGTGACAGATGGCAGCAGAGGCACAGTCTGACACAAAGGCATCTGACATGAAAGTGTGTATGAAGCAAAGGTGTGTCTGAATTCCTCAGTGTGGAATGACATGAAATGACACCCACTGGCATCTTCTGATACTTGATGAACATTTCTGGAGACCAAACAGAGGATGTGAGCGTAGTGAGGCAGTGGGTAGTGCATTTCAGCAGTGGTCACTTCCACTGGCACAGAAGTTGATGATTCCAGCATGCAGGTTCTTGTTCATTGCTGGTAAAAATGCATAGCTATTGATGGTGACTGTGCTGAAAAATAGTGTTTTATAACTGAGAATTTGCTCGTTCAACTAGTTTCCATGGAAATAAATAGCAGGCATTACTTTTGAAGTGACCTGCATACATCTGGAAGGGATACACATATGTTAGCCTTCTAGTTTACGTCGAGAGTGGCTCAGATATCTGCAGATGATGATTTTGTGCTGTCTGGAAGGTTACAATGCATTGGTGGATGAGGAAGGGCTTGCTTGGGTTAAAGGATGTGTATAAACCTGAAAGGAGGTTTGATTTTTGCCCTGTTCTGTTTGTGATAGTCGCTTAGTACAATGTGTTGCTCCTCGACTTCATCAATGGGATATTGGCACTGCTTCTGCCACAGGCTTCAAGGCTGAGCAAACAGGCTTCAGAAGTGCTGGTGTTCATGCAGTTAAGCTGAGCATCTCATAGCTGGTTGTGCAAGATCCATTCTGCGTAGGGTTGCACCACAGGTAAAGTGAGTTGTTAAAGGAACAAGAGTCTTGTTGAGCACTCCTCTGGCTCTTGGTAAGCGCTTACAATCACACAGTTCTTCCACAGATTATCTCTCTTAGCTATTCAGATGATGCTTGTTGACCATCTTTTTGTTAGAGGATGGGTATTAAAGCACTTGATCCGTCCATGCACAAAAACTGGGCTAAAGCTTCCAGCAGTGTGCATCTCAAAGAAGCATGATTATGGATATGCATGACCCTAAGGATTTCAGGATCTTGAAAAAATTGAGAGCATGCAAGAATTTTTTGTCACTTGCTTAATGCAGTATCTTCTCTCTCTCTCTTCCCCTCCCTCCCCCCTCAACATGGCCATATGCTATTTTTTCTTTTTTTTTCTGGTGTTTTTTTGGTTTTATTTTTTCATTTATTGAGTCTTCTGGCAGGCAGCTTGTGAATTACTGTAGCTACTGTCAGCCTTGCTAAAAGCAGTAGAAGCAAAAATTTCAGAAGGTAGTCTCATCATGCTGCTGCTTTGCAAAAGCAGTACAAAGTATAGGAACAATTTGGGGGGTGAGGTAAAATGAGCTCAAACTCTGTGCTGTTGGCTGTCAACTAAGAAAGGTTTTAACAAACTCTTTGCCAGTAAGTAGTCCACACATGCTTTGTTTCTCTGATAAACCTCATTATCACTTTTTATGGCATGCAACATGTTATAAAACAGTTTGTATCATTACCTTTAGACTACCGCATGTTTTATGGCTGGCTGTGATTAGATAAAGCAAGGTGGCGTGGAAAAAGGAGAGGTGAAAGAAACTGACCAGGTCATGAAGGTCAGCAGAATTGAGCTTTGGCTTTCACACAAGTGGGCCAGAAGTGTCTTACGACACAAGAGAGGTATAGGGTATAGTGATGGTGATGATACTCTCAAGTGCCTACACAAACATTATTGCTAAGAAGAGAGGGTATCGAGAAAGTATGTTTTTCAGGAGATTTGTGAAGATACAAAAAGCCAGACAGGATAAAGCTGTATGCTACCAGGCTACAAAGAAAACTGTTGCACAAATTTATGGGAACTAATGAGGAAGATCAGTGCAGAGACTGAGATAAAATCTGTGAAGTAAGTAGTGGTAAGATGTGAAGGAAATCTCAGATGGATAAGCATCTGAGAGCTCAGTTTTCAGATCAATTGAATAAGATATAGATGGCATTCTTACATGCTGGCATTTCAGATTTGACATCCAAGCTGCACTGAGCAGGAGTCAGTAATTAGCACTGCAGAGAGCAAACAAGCACTGAGCCAGATGCAAGAGCCTGCTGGACTCTCCTCAGAAGTGAAGGTCTAGGACAGCAAGTATGTGAGAAGAGATTTGTAATCTACGCACAAGTATCTACACGTTTTATGGACAATTCCCTAAAATGAAATATCAAAATATCTGCTGGAATGTTGACATCTGATATTACTGTAGCCTGCCAGCCAAAGACTACCTTGGGGTTAGTCTGCATGCCCAGTCATATTTCATTCACACTTTACATTAAAGTTCCACTTAATGTGAATTTTAAATGGATTAGTTGGTGGTTAATAAGACACACTGAACAAATAGCAGCATGTACATTATTATAAGCATATCCACAGAAGGTGTTAGTGATGATTACAAACAATCTAGTATGATGCTCAGAATGAACACACAATTGCTTAATCAAGTTTCCACAGCTTACTTAATATGAAGCATGACTACAGTTTCATATCTCAGCGGCAAGCCTGCTATGAGCTGCCTGGGCAAACTTCTGTGGCTTTTTTTGTCTCTCTGGAGATGGCTGCTGTTACTTTTGGCTTATGATAACTGATAAAAGCAATCTCTCTGTTCCACTGCCAATGCTACATGAATGACTGAGGATCAGATTTAACACAAGAGCCTATCAGCCTTCTTTAAAGGTAAATGAACAGCATCAGTCCTATACTGTGCATGATAGTTCTTCACTGAACTAGCTCAAGAAAATGCAGGACTGTAATAACAGTGATCTGACTGGAAATAAGGAAGTTTGTTTGCACTGACATTTAGTTTAACATATTGTTTTCAGGTGCCTGTGAAATGAACTCTGGTAAGGACCTTCTCTGACCTGTCATTTAACTCCAAATGGAAGCGTAACAGTTTAGCTGGTGCTGGACAGACACAAAAGATCTACACAATTTAAGAAAGAAGCATGTTAGCTCAGGAATGAAAGAAATGTTATCATTTTACATGAAAACCTCTAGTTTTAGATGATATCAAACAAATCTTAACTGAATGGATGCCATTAAACAGGTGGTCTTTGCCACTGTTATCTCTGGGGTTATCTTTGTTTTCTAATTGGAAATGAAAGAGGACTTCAGAACCTGACTTTATCCACCAGTTATTCTTAATGACAACACTTCTCATGGGAACTGGGAGGCACTCACCTTGGATTTGTTGAATATGAATGACTGTAAGATCAGGATTTTGATACTAAAAGGGAAAGGGCAGTAATTGATTATTTCAAAGGAAGTTGCCTTTGTTGGGAGAGAAGTACAAAATGAATCTGGGACAGTTGCTTTACCATGCATGCTTACTTCTCTGAAGGTCTTAATTGACTGATGCCTTGACTGTGTGTGTAAAAGCTTCTTCCTCCAGAAACTGTCTGCAACATGTACTTTTAACCTTAATCCACAGAGCTTCCTTAGTGTGAGATGCAGATGAAAGGTGCTCCCTCAAGACTTCTCTATGTACTTTGTTCACGTGGATCCTGGTCTGCTCGGGTTCATGGTTTGGCTGGGGATCCTTCTGACAAGCTTAAGTCAGGCTTGTGCCACTTGAGCTGAAGGAATTTTTCCATCAAATGAGCTCCCACGTTGAAGACCAAGGCCAGCCAGGCCAAGCCAAAAACAATCCAAATTGCAGTTAGACTTCTGTAGAGTGGGATGTAGTGCTTGTTTGGGTTTGTGCCTGAAAAATCCAGGAAACCTTACGTGTTAATCTTCACTGCTTTGGTCTGATAGACAACACACGAAGTCATAACTTCCCCTTCCCCACACAGATGTATAAACTTAACAAGTTTGTGTAATTTAGGGGCATTATTATTATTTTTCCTCTTGCTCCAAATCTCAGGTTTAGCTTTGAAAAGTTGGCATAAAATCTCTGGAGCTAAGGCTATATAACAAAAAGAGAAAAATCTAAAGTTAATCAGAACAGAACAAAACTGAGTGTTTCCAAGTGCTGACAAAGAAAAAAACATGCTAGAATCTACTGCTGAATCTACATTAGCCAAATTTTACTCAAGCAACCCACATGAGATCTCATTTGATTTTAAAATATTTGGTTTTGTATTACAGGGATGTACGCATTACCTTTTGTATTGTGACATACTTCATTAGCCAGCATTCAGAATCATTTGGAGTATACTGTTTGGAAAGCGCAGCCATTTTAAGTGCTTATGGAAATGTTAACCCCTGGTTTGGTATTTACACAAAATGATTAATCGGTGCGGCTGATATTGATGCAGGACTGCACCACAGCCATCCATTTAGTGCATTGAAAGATACCTCATATGTTTCTATTGCTAAGTTTCAGCCTAGATCTTTGAAGACTACATATTCTCACAAGGGTTCATTTATTTCCACAGCTCTCTAGGGGTTGTTTGTAATGTTCTTCCCACTGTCAGTACTGAGAGTTTCATATTTTACAGATTTTTGTATTGGGAATGGTAGGCACTTGCTGAAACAAATAATTGTTAGGAGAGGATGTCTCAAAGACTTCAGAGATTTCACTCATATTCCAGCTGTCACCCATGGATCGCATTCATACCAATTTGGGTATAGTCATTGTTGAATGAGTATTCAGTGTCATACATCAAATGAATATAGTGACTTTCAGCTTAGCTGCTTAAAAGAAAAAATGCCCATGCCATGTATTACCTCATTATTATCAGCACTCTCTCTCTCTCATACCATATTTACAGGGAAATAGTTATCTATACTCTCTGTACTTAGGCTTTCACTAGAATACCTAATATCAACAAACTTCCTCCCACTGAGGTGAGAATGTGGGCAAAAAGATAAAATTTAACCATGTGTATCCTCATTATTACCTACTACATAGTCTCCAAATCCAATTGTGCTCAAGGTGATGAAAGTGAAGTAAAAGCCTTCTCCATAGCTCCAGCCTTCTACATAACTGAAAACCAGTGGTGGGAACACTAGAAAAAGCAAGATCCCTGCAGTCAGGAAGACAGCCATGGCCAGTCTCTGAACCACCTGAAGGATAAAGGGAAGATATCAGCTAAACAGCAGTGAGCATCTGTCAAGTGGAAATTTCTGGGTCTGTTTTGCTCTTAAAGCACAAACCTACTCCTGCTGGGAGCTGTGTCCAAAAAGAGAAGGATAAACCAATGCTACTGTGAACTACATGCTGACCTTGCTGTTTATCTTTCACATAGACATTGTACCCTAAGTATATATCTCAAAAATGGGAAAAAAATAAAGATGTTTTAAAGCTTTTTGCAATGAGTTTTGAAGTGTGCTCGAGTCATATTTTCAAAATTACTATAGCAACCATAGGAGTGAAATGTTCACTTTACTTTTTCAATTTAAATGGGGATGCTCTTGTAATCACTTGATCCAGCCTTTAAGGAATAGCACCAAGCTCATGATACAAAGATTGGCAAGAACAAATTAGGATTCTCTTTGCTGTGACTGCTTCCAAAGATTTATAAAGTGGCTTGCAAGAGCTCAGCCAAAAATATGTTTGGATGAAATTTGAATGAAGTCAGTTTGCCTGCTCTTATTTTAAACTTAGAAGCATTCAGAGCAGGGCTGTTTTCTGTCAGCACAGAGTAGATCTGTGTCTCTCATTACAAACGTCTGTCTTTTGGGAGATGTTAAGGCCTGCTAAGTTACAACATATGTGGCTGCCCAGATAGATACACGGAATGGTCATGCATAGGGGAATGTCTCAGTGGTTTTATCTAAGGAGTGAGGACCAGGAACTCATGGGTAACCATGGGACACAGTCGTGGCTCTGGTGAACTTTTGACTAGTGCTGCACAGTCTAATGGAAACTCATGGCAATCGTTTAACTTCATTCGCAAAGCATTTTGAGAATTACTTATCAACATGTTGTAGTTGATCTCTGTTCTCATTTTAGCTTATTCCAGAAGTGTAATTGCATTCAATTAGATAATGAAGATTGCATAAAGCTCTGAAATTCACAATGTTACATACTGTCCTGGCTTTTGAGAACTTTCTAGTAGCAACATACAAGGTAGAGGAGAGTAAGTCAGGAATGAAGAATTGATTTTAATTGATTTCCGAAAGCACAGCTCTTCAGAGTGAAGAAGCAGGTAAAGCTCCAAAGCTTCATCTGTTCGTAGGAGTTCTGTCAAAAATTGAGTGATAACTGAAGTTTTGAAAAAGAAAAAATCACATCTCTAAATTGCAATAAAAATCTCAGGAAAGATCCAGATATACTAGCATTCCACTTGTGGTGGAAGAGCTGCATGTATCTGAGGAACAGGCATAGATAAGGCAGTTAAGAAACGTTTTGCTTATATAAATTAACTACATTTGATGGTACCTATATATCTTCATCAGAAAATCTTTCCCTGTGTAGGTAAAGAATGCAGTAATTCAGTGACTTATACAAATGAGAAAGAGGAAAAAAAGACACATGAGACAAATCTGAAATGTTTCAAAATATCTAACATACCTATCACCCTTTTCAGTATCTAAAGAGGTCAATACATTGAACCTTTTACTCAGAAATGTGCACTAACTTTGTTACAAATGACCTTCACATATTTCATATTATCAGTGTTTCCCGTATTCCAATACATCTGGACTAATTCAGTGACTCACTAACAAACTGTAACTACAGAGAAGGATGGCTTATTTACATTAAAAAAAAAAAAAAAGAAAGAAAGAAAAAAAAAGAGGAAGGAAGTACTAAATTACTGGCACAATCAGGGAAGGTAATTCAAGCCAGATTAGCAGGCCAATAAAAATAAGTTGTCTTTGCACAATGTAGGCCCAGATTCTGGGTTAGATACGAGCATAGGCTAGATAATAAGAGCTTAATTCAGCAATGTGTGTATATGAATACGTTCTGCTAAAGTCACCAGAACTTAAAAGACCCTGCTCAAAACTGAGGCTATGCTTGCTTAACAGTTTTGCTGAATCAGCGTTTAAAAATGCAAACCTGGGGTCCCTCAGGAAAAAGCAAATTACTATAAAGCTCTCATAGATAAATATAGCATATCAATTTTCTGATATAGAGGGCAATGTTTACATCAAAAAGATGTGAACACACTCAAGGAAATCCAAACTGGTAGCTGCACTAACTCTCTGAGAGAATAGTTTCTATTAGTGGGGAAGAAATAATAGATTCATTCTGTACCTGGTCATGGCCTGGCTTTTGCACCCATCTTTCCAGAGTAATCAAATGAGCATTGAGACCTTTCCCCAACTGGTTAAGGAAGGCCAAGTTGAGTGGCACTCCAAATAAGGCATAAAAAACACAGAAGACCTGTCCTGCCACTGTGCTGGGGGACCGGTTACCATAGCCTGGAACAGAAGAAAAAAAGAGCTACAAGAAAAGGTTTCATAGTTGGTCTGCAGGCCATCATTTCTGGGGCTTGGAAGCTCACTTTCATTAAGCTTCAAGGATCTGGAGGCCTATGATTTTGCATAGTGAATTCTGCCTACAAATTGCTCTAGCTTATCATAGAGCCCTGCGCATTCACTACTACTAAGAGAACATTTAATATGGAAAATTCTGAACAAATGCCATGATTTCCCATAAGTCTGATTTGGTAGTGAATGCAACTGAGTACTTCAAAGCGACCTCAGAATTTGCTGTACATGTACACAGTCATATCACATATACCAAAGAGGCACTTGGCCATTTTTGCGGGTTTGATATGATGAATGCACAAGAAAAGGTATTGTCTGAAACACATAAGAAAATATAACCTGCAGTAATCAAGATCATCTTGTAGGTGTATTCTGTACACTCATTTTATTTTTCTCAGGGATTTGCAGTACAGCTAGAGGAAACCCCAATTCACAAGGAAAGAGAGTACCTCACCTATAGTAGTGACAACAGCTCCTGCAAAAAAGAAAGAATTGCTGAAGTCCCAGTTACTGGGATTCGTAGAGTTTTGTTCTGGGTTGACCCCTTTTTCCAATGCTTCCATGAGGACCTGAGGCAGAAGAGGTCAAGGGAGCAAAGATGAGCCACACATTACACATCAACAGGAAAAATGTCAGAAAAAAATACAGCAGATAAGTAGATATTACTTTCCATCTTGAGCAAGCAGAACAGTAAATAGCGCAGATAACAGGGCAAGCTTAAGTAAAATGACCTGAGAGAGTCTTATGCTGATGTAGCAAAACTCTGAAATAGAGCTGGTCAGGAACTTGAACTCTTATCACCAGAGAACTGGCCACTGAAGTAGAATCAGTTCCGTAACTACTCAAAGGCTAAGGGGAGAAGGATGAAAGGAGTCCCTGGGATCATGAAACTTAGAATGTAAAGTGAAGTTATGCCTTAAAAAAGACATATAAATCCTTTCCTTCCCTTCCCTGGTGTAGTCGTTTTATTCCAAATTTAAATTTGGGCATGTGTAAATACGTGTTTGAACTGGTGGTGAAGAGTATGAGGAGCATGCTTGTTTCATCTTTGTCCATGTAAATACTAGTGAGGATGAATTACTCTTTTGGCTATGAGTTCCCAGTAATTTTTAATCAAAATCAAGATTCTTGTGGTCTGGAGATTAGCTGTTCCAGATAACTCTTAACAGATGATCAAACTGCTGTGTGCAAAAGAGATCTAGCTCCTGGTGTATCAAACATCTTATTAGCTGCCTTAATGACTAATGTGTTTCTTTGTTCTCCCTGAGGATTCCTCTGAATGAAACAGGTTGCCATCTGCACAGTGGCTGGAATTTCAAGAACCTCTTTTTTTCTTAGATGTCACTTTTAAAGTCCACATCACAAACTTCATAACTTTGCCAAATGTCTCACCACCACACAAACACTCACTTTTTAGACTTGAACCTGTCATGATGGGCAGGTTTCCCTCACCATACAGTTAAAATGTACAGTGAAATAATTGTTCCCCTGCATTAGTTAAAGATGTAATCTGGAAAGAATTCAATTCCATAATATTAGTAAGAGCTGGACAAATTTCCTAAGAGAGATTATAAATGATAGTGAGAGGGCACCCCCACTTTTACCTGGAAGGTTAAGTGCTGAGTACGCTAAGGCTTGGTGCACTGTGTATGATAATTTGGTGCCCTCAGCTGGTTTTGTCTGGAACAGCTGACAAGTGAAATGTATCTGATTCAGCTTCGATGCAGCAAAATGCAACAGTCTGAGTGGCCTGGCAGGGCTAAGGAAAGCACCACTGGAGGAAAGAGAATCTGGACATCTGTGAATCCTCCCTAAGCTTTCTAGAGTACCAGAGATTTAACTAAGCCTTTTAATTCTATAAAGCATCCAAGTGTGGTTTAGAGTGAGATTCAGAATCTTTCTCTTTACCGTCATTACCACAAAGGGAAGAGAAGGACAGGTAACTCCAACGACTAATGTAGCTGGAAAGAAACAGGCATGTTTTCAGGCATACAAGTTCTGGAAAACTCTAGTTGTTTTTTGGACAAAGCCAAATATTCCATAAGAAATATGGAGTCATCAGATCATTGCCCTTGTAGACAGAGTTCAGATGCCTTCTGATCCCTTTTTGATTGAAAGTTCACTGTTTCCTCAGATCCATTTATTCTTCAGAAGAAAGTGATAATTCAAGGATTTTTTGCCCAAATCTTATAATACTAGAATAAGAGAATTTGTCCATAACAATACCAAGTAAAGGCTTGCAATTCATCTCCAGCCTTTGAGGAATAGATTAAAATGTAATTGAAGATGCTATTAATTGACAACCCGTACTGAATAAGAGCTAAGAGCTTTTTTGCACTTACTGACAAATTACACAGCTTCTGGTGGATGCATTCATGGGCAATAGACAATCTCAGGTAGAAAGAAAGGGCAGAATTTGCACAGGTTTGGGTAGAAGTACCTTAGAAGGACAACCTACTTTTTGTGAGCTTTTTCTACCCATGCAAAATTCCCTGCAATAATTAATGAGAGGGCTACAAACCATGAAGTTAAAATTATTGTAAGGTAGCATGAAGGTTCATCAGCAGTTTTTCATTTTTTGGGTGTTCATGAATATGTTAAAATAAAGTGATACATGAAAGGGCTTGAGAAAATATTGCCTTTCTGCTGGACAGTTGGTCCTCTAACATCGTGGACAGCAGAAAAATTTATGACATGCTTGGCCAAAACAGTATCATTGCTTCTAGCAAAAATAATGCTTGAGCCAAAATAATGCAAGCCTGTTCCTCTTACCTGTATGAACTGCTCCAGGGCTTGCCTGTCCAAGCATGTGTAGTTCTGCAGGAACTTAAGCTTGTCCAGGTGGAACTGGTCCCGAGAGTGGGTTTCTGCCTGCTTCTCCAGCAACTGGAACACCATAGCACCCAGGAGGAGGTAAAAGAGATACCCTAGCACCAGCAGTGGAGTCCAGCTGATCTGCCAGTTGGGTGCTGTGAGGAAGGGCATGCTGCTGCTGCCAGTCCTTGGTCAGTACTTACTAGTTTACGCTCACAGGATATGTACTACCCTGGCCACCCAGAAATCATTTTCCAAATGGTTCCAATTCCATTGGAAACCAATGTTCCCAGCTACTGTGCTGGAGATTCTTTTAACAGAAAATATGGGTAACATGCCCATAAAAATGAGACTAACAGGCAATTTTTACCCTTCCTCATCTTTTCTCTATCCAAAATAGAGAATATTTATGACTTAATAAGTATGTAAATCATAGTATCTTCCTCTTATGAAAACAATTTTATCCAAAGATCTCAGTCAAACAAATGAAGCTGGACACAAGCCCTCTATGACAGATACTGTCTTCCAGGCTGGGAAGCTGAAATAAAATTAGCTTAATGACTTACGCATTAAGTGATATGAATGTAGAGCCATGAAAAGACTCTGAGAGTACTGACAAATAAAGCCTTACTCTAAACACTGGACTTCCGTACAAGAAAACACTATAAACTCTCCAGTTACAACAGAATCTCCAGAACTAAGAAGACTATGGAGCTGAATAAATGCAACATTCAATTGCAGCCGTCTGTACCACACAAACAATGCTGGTAGCAGTGAAAGTAGTGATAAAGTTCATAAACATCCCAAAAAGCCTAGTCACAAAACAGTTTCTTTTTTTACCATAAAAGATCAGCCCCCTCACTGCCTTGTCTGATAATCCTCAACTCTTTGTCAGATTCCACACTTGAACACCCCTTAGTCCATGGAGTTAGGAAAGGAACCACTCATGCTTGCTGCTTTCAGTGTCTGTATTTCCCATTTTTATCCACATATGAAAGGGGGGAAGGGGCTCAGGTTAATCATTAGCTAAAAAAGTATTGGAAGCTCACTCATGGGAGCTTCAATGATTGTCATGCTCTGAAAATTAGCTGGGCTAGCATATTCTTTGTAGGAAGATCCTTAAAGCTAGAGTCATCCATGCCAAACTGCTTCTGAAAGAAAACACACATACATAGACTCACGATGAGAAGGCTACGTGGCTAGGACTGCAAGTCTGTATATCTCCCTTTCCATTAAAAATTCTGAATGCAGATATCCTTCCTTTTGATCAGGATTGTTTTTTACCTGTCTTCGAACAACACATAATGCTCAGAGAAAACAACTGAAAAGAATATTTCCCTTCTTATCTTCTGGGAAATCCCCTGCAGCATCCATCTGAACTGAGTTTTTAGCCACATACCACCCAGAAGAGAAAGACTGATTGGCAACAGAAGGCCTCTTGTCACTGTGGACAGTGAAGGGTATGTTGGGCAACTCCTAGAAGGTCTTTTAATTTGTTCAGGATCATTCTGTTGCTGTGGCTAGAGAACAGAAAGAAGTAAGAATAGGTGTACGATACACAAGGACTCAAACCTTGGTGCTTTGCACAGTTTTTCTTAGATTAAATGAAATACAGTAACTAGAAGCTACAGTGGCATTGATATGTACTAACTTTGTGAACCAAACTGTTTTGAAGTAACAGAGATATCCAATCTATTTCTTACTGGTGGAAGACCTTTTCATAGCTGGCACCGGCGGTGACTGAAAATGACTTTAGGAGTATCCAGAAAGAACTATATGCTGTCTTCCATAATTAAAAGATACAACTTGTTGTTCCATTCCTTGAGAAATATTAAGGGTAGGTGAGCTTGAGATATTGCACAACAGCCTGTAATACTAGTAGAGCTCTCTGTTGAGAGAGCCAGATACTTGCGTTACGGCTTATAAGACCAACTTCTAGCAGTCCAAGCGAATGCCTTCTAGTTTTCTGGAATGGAAGCAAACATATGCACATAGCTGGTCTAAGACAGATTCCCACAGTTGAAATATATTTCTAAAGGTACTAAACTAGTAAGTTATTAATGAACAAATAAAGCACTGAATCTTCTCTATGTCCCCTTCTGCTCTTTCTGTTAAGTTCAACAAGGCATTCTAGCTGAGGCATTTAGAAGCCAGAAATATTGTGCCTTAAGGAAAAAGACTTAAATTCAGGATTCTATTTTTCTGAAGGTTTTGAAAATGGAGATACTAAAATTGTCAGGTTGTGCTTACTTCTATACTTCAGGTATTCCTACTTCAAGTATTGCAATGTTAGCAGTGTACCCTGTTTGTATGGCTGAGTGAAATGATTTCTAAATGCCTTTCAGAGGTGTTACCATCTTTTCAATGACTATTATTTGAAAAGCATAAAAAAAAACAAAAAAAAAACCTGACCAAAATAAATTAATGGGAAATAAAAACCTGAAGAGAACTTTGGGAGACATATGGAATATATGATAAGGTATTGTCAGGTATTGTCAGTATGCCAAAATAACAATGCTAGCAGGTTGGTCCCTTTTAACGACAGAATGACAAAACTTAGTGTCTGATCTATCTTCTTTTATTTTTTTTTAATTTATGTTCTTCTGATTATGAAAATAAATAAGACCCGAGTTCACAAAATTTAGAAATAAAAAATTCTGAAGGAAAAAACTACTCTTAAGAGTAGCTAAACTTGGAAACTGACTGTTACTCCAAGGCCCTATACTTCCTGTGCTCCCAGCCAACATCAAAACAAGAATGCATTTAGTTTCAAATCTAAGGAATGAATTCTCACAAATATTTTGTATATATAAAATATATTTATTATATTCAAGTATATATGAATTACTTATTTTGAATATAGATCTGAATGTGACCTCCAAGATTATTCCTTTAGTTATGATCTCCTCCCTCGGAACTGATGTAATATAGGACTGATCCAGTAGATTTTCTCTAGAAAAAAATCTGAGCCACCTGGAAAGTACCAAAATGACACCCTGGTCTGCAGTCAAGGTCATGAATCACTTTATGTGGATTACATGTAGCAAATCAAAGGATTTGGGGTTCTCCATTTACTTCACCTATTGTTACAGTCCCTAAAAGTTCCTAAACCCAAACAGATAATGAATATAAATGGGCCTAATAGAGCTCACTTTGTTTCAAAGGCTATGAAATATACCATTGTGATAAGTAGGAGAATAATTTACACAGATACAAACAAGCTGTTTCAGTGGTTTAAAGATACCTTGGCTGATTCTGTTGTCCTCAAACTTCTGATGAAGGATGAATTTCAGAGCTGTTACTTCTGGAAGAAACTTCTCTGAACAGAATTAAACGAGAAGTTGGATGCAAAAATTTAGGGACTTATTTCTTCTTCAGGTTATGTACTGTAGCCTGAACAACTTGTACATGAAAATACTGAATGGTTTTGAATTTGCCTTGCTCCTTAGTACAGAGTTAAGGAAATAATAAATATGGATAGCAGAAACTGAGTGCATTTCTTCAGGCATGGCACTGCCATTTGGCAAGTTTCTACTTCTCATTTTGTTCTCACTCCAGATTTAAGACAGCAATTTTTATTTACTGCTTTACAATCACATAGGTGGAAGCATGGAACATTTTCATTTTCAGGTAAAGGTTGCCTTATTGGTGAGCAAACATTACAGGAAGCAAAACAGAAAAAAATATTAGGAGAAGATATATTGATTTGTTGGCCCATGGCGTTGGCATTAGAGCAGCAAAGGTTGAACCTTCCCACCAATATTCCATTGCATGTTGTTGCTGTGTGACAGATGGCAGCAAAGAAGCAGTCTGACACAATGGCGTCTGTTAGGGAAGTGTGTATGAAGCAAAGGTGTGTCACTGAATTCTTCCACATGGAAAAAAATGGCACCCACTGACATTCATCAATGCTTGCTGAACATTTCTGGATACCAAACGGTGGATGTGAGCACAGTGAGGTGGCTGGTGGTGTGTTTCATATGAAATAATTCTGGAAATTTTGAATTGTAGAGGTTATTTCCATTAAAAATTAATATCATATCACAATATCCACATTTCAATAATCAGGTATTAAAATTATTACGTATTGGGTACAATTAAAATCAGCAAAAGATCTCAAATTATTTTTGTGACATTTTTTAACCCAGAAATTTTTTTTTTCAGACATCTCTAGATGCCAAATAGATGTAATTTATAATGCCTTATGCAAATCCATGCAAATAAAACCAGTTGATTTCACCTGATTTCTTTGCAAGCTTCCAGTATATACATACCAAATGAGGTAAAAAAAACAACAACATTCAATCAGTAGAAATATGTATTCCCCAGATTAAAAATGTAGAACATTAATACATTAAATAAATTTAACCTCTATAAAACTGACAATAAGTTCCCAATAAACAAATATATTTGGCAAAATCCTGATTATTTGTTCTAGTTTTACTTAGTTTTAATGCAAGCTGCTGAAACCAAACACAAATATTCAAATATAATCCCCTGAGGAAATGAATTTTTGCTGTCAAATACAAGTCACTTTTATATCATTGTACTTAAATCTGTACATCCGAAGATGCCGTTTCTTCTCAGAAGAGGAAGGTAAAGAAGAAAGGTCATCAGCAGATTCTAAAAGGAAACAGTGGACTGCCACAAGAACTTCATTTGTTTCCCAGGCCTGAAAGGAGATAAAAAATTTACTAGGCTTTGTTTTAGAATATCTCATCAGTTGAAAAAATAATTTCACTCCAGAAAAGAGAGGAAATATAAGATACTTTAAAACTTTTAAGATGAAAAAAAAATAGTTTTCTGTATTTTCATTTATATTCCTTAAGACCAAAAACAGCAACAAAACAGTAGAGCACTTTGTAAAAGATTTTCAACTCAGTTGTTAGCAGTTCTTTGACAATCTCATCAATACCCTGTGGATATATTTGCTTTAATTCATCTCTAGTTAAAAAGAAACAGTAACAACCTACAAGAACTGAGAAAATCTTTTCTGAGATCTCTCATTATTTCACCCGTGTTTCTGTCACTAAGGATATCAAGCATTCCTGTGCTTTCTGTTTATGATACTTATTTTCTGTTCTATTGGCTTTGGCACACATTTATACTTTTTTATTTCATTTTTTTTCCAGCTAATGTAAAGTGGGGCCCTCAGTTTGCTTCTAAGATACTGATAAAACAGTTTGAAAGACTCAGGATTAAGAAAGGCAACAACAAAGGAAAGAGAAGTATGTTGAGATTTTTCAGACCTATCAGATTTTGGTTTGGCTGAACCTATGCTTTCTCACGTTGTTTCCTGCATAGCACTTTATATGTAATAATAATTCCAGGAGCACACACACTTGCATGTTAATGGAGAAATGCTTACTGAACTTCTCGGTTGAGTTAGGGGTCAGACAAAAGAGCACTGGACTGGGAACTGGCGCACAGCTTACACATGAAGCTGTGACACAACATAATGGCTTTGGCAGGCGTTTTCTCTGTTTCATCTAGTGGAAGTTTGAGATTTATTGACAAAAAGTTCTGTGTGAGATTGATCATACCTTTTTTTATTCCTGAGGTATTCACTTCTTCTTCTACCCTTTCTACTTATCTGCACTTGATCTTTATAAACTATTCTTTATAGAACTTCCTTTCAGTTCTCACTGGCTTTCAAGGTAACTGTTACTGGAAATTCTTTCTAGTCAATGATGCACAACAATCCTACAACATTTACTGTGCTTCTCTTCTTTTAGATTAGAAACAAATCGAAGAAGAGTGAAGTGTTGGATCGAAAAAACAGCTGAGGCAACGATGCATTGAAACAAGCTCAGAAGCTTGCTTGCAATGAAGTGAGAAGTCTGGTGGTAAAATACAGCTCATGCGAAACCTTCAACACTTTGAATTTCATGCAAGATTAGAGGAGAAGGTGGTGAGCAGTCTGAAACCTAGGGGACTCTACCCAGTTCTACTCTTTACTGCATTTCTTGTGCCATGCTACACATGAAAAGGAGAACACACATCACTATCACAGATAGGAGCAGTTGAAGCACTGCCTCTGTCTATTTTCTTCCAGTTAGAAAAGCTACCACAGCATCTCATAAATGTCGTCATGTACCACTACTGTGCTGAATTTCCTTAGCAGTCCTGGTCTCATTATCTTGATAAAGCAGAGCAACTTTTTTTTCATCAAGGTTTCCTGCTATCAGTGGTTCCATCCTTCAGATCTGGGAGATTTTCCCTCTACATGCAAACAACCAAACAATTGAAGTGCTCTTTCATCTGCCAGGTTAACTCCAAATCCTCCTCACAGCTTGTTGCTTGCTGTCTCTTATCTATGACACATCAAGTCCCACATGTTTTCAATATGCAGGCCATAGTTATGAAGTCTCTTTTCTCTTTTCTGCTTGCATAGTGACTTGTTGAGTCAATCAGTCCTGTGCTGACATATTGATCAGAATAAGCACTGTGCAAATGTTACTCTGTTCTTTGTCAGTTATTTCAGGCTATTGATGGGGATGCAGACCATCTCGTCTAACTGAACTTCAACAGAATTGTAAAAGTTTTGACTGTCTGCAAGAATACTTTTCATAACTTTAAGCCTGACAGTTGGTGAAGTTGTCCCTTCTGAAACTGATATATGATGCCAGGTAATTAACTGTGTCTGAAAAGCATGCAGGATGGAAAAGGCATTTGAGAGAGATGTTCCTGACGTGGTACGACTGGGAGACAGATGATCACAGGACAAGATGTGCTTGATAGATTACTGTACACAAAACTGATCAGATCTGGACACTCTAAAGGCCTGAAATGTTTGTTGTAAGATACTTATCTCTAACCTCCTTATAGTGAGCAGCCTATAAATTCAACTTAATTTCATTTGCTGAAGAAACTTGACAACAGCTTTTCTAAATAAAGACAGAACGGAACCCAAGCCTGAGTGTGCTGAGTGTTTGCTTTGGAAGAATGTAAAGGGACTGTTTTTTTCAGCCACTGTATGTTTACCTGACAGTTTTCTGATAAGCAGCGTGATAACAAAACCCCACTTTGTGACAGTACTAACACCATCTGCCAGGTGCTGATAGCTTGCTGAATAATGCTGTCATCAGCGCTCAAGTGCGGATGGAAAGTTATTGCTTCAGTAACCATCACTGCTTTCATTTCCTGTCTAATTGCTAGCTGCCACTAAAAACGATTATTCAAAAAAAGAGAAGAGAAGAGAAGAGAAGAGAAGAGAAGAGAAGAGAAGAGAAGAGAAGAGAAGAGAAGAGAAAAGAAAAGAAAAGAAAAGAAAAGAAAAGAAAAGAAAAGAAAAG